CTCATCTCTCTATAAAATACCCAAGATTGGTGAGAGTTGTCATTCACCTTCACCATGAAGGGAATCGTCCTATTTCTTGTAGTGGCCATTGTGGGTAAGTATGGCTTTCTTTTTACTATGACTCCATTGTAAAATTTTGCATAATTTTAGTCAAAATATATTTTAAAATTTAAAGAAAACTCCATCCTACTATGTTCATATTGTAATCTCTTGAATTTCTTTCCTCAGCTGCCGAGAAATTCCCAGCCCGTAAGTACAACATTAATATATCTTATATTATTTCCATTTCATACTATGCATGCTTTTTGAAACAACATTTGAAAAAGGGGTAATGTACTATCTTTTATATTTAAGTCACAAATCTGTTAGTGTCTGTTATTAAATCTTGCAAAGAATAGGACTATTATCCTGTCCCATTAGCAAAAAGCAATCATCCTTCTGCAAGATATTTGTCTAATGTTATGAGCAACTAGAATAGTATATAAATATAATAAATAATCAGTAAGTCAAAATATAAGTTATGTGCTTTAATCAACTTGAATGAGTAGCAGTAACCTTATAACCGAGTGCAGAACAAATATAGAATTAACACTTGAAAAAAATAACACATTTTCATTAACATTATAATATAAAATAAAATCTTTAAAAGTTACATGCTGAATAAAAATAATTTCTATACAGTTATAATGACTTGCCTTTAATTCAATTGTTAGTTCGTATGTCAAAACTATTAACTAGTTTTGCTCCATAATTTTAGACAAGAATTTAAAGAGGCTCAAGCACATAGAAGATTGCTCTTTCTTTTTTAAATTTATTTTTATTTTAGTAAAAAAAAGCAATTTTTTTTGAAGAAACAAGGAAAAAAACACAAAGTATTAGTTTTCCATCCCTTGTGAAACAGGCCCAAAGAATTTCAAACAACTAAATTACTACTTCTATTTGCGAGTTATTAACCTGTCATCTATATATTATATTAATGACAAAATAGTTAACAATAATAACAATAATAATAATGACAACTAAAATTTCAAAACCTCTATTAACAAATTGTTGTTGTAATCGACCCATAGTAAATTTACCATGGCTTCTTAACTATCCAATATTTCCCAAGAATTAACACTGTTTCATCCTGGATCAAATATCTGTGGTTTTTCCCCCCTTAATACCACCAATTGTTTTCTGGTTAAATATAATAAGTCCAATCTCCAAAACCAGTCTATCTTGCCCCAAAAAGTCAAGATGAAATTGTTTCCCAGTTAAGTGTGATAAATCCATTCGCCAATCCTCTCAGTATAATTAAAGAAGATCAATTTATTACTTAGTCACTCAGATAGTTTCTGCTATTTTTATAAGACTGCAGGCTTGAATTTCAGGGAGGCATAGCGATATGTTAATTCATCAGTTAATTCTAAGTCTGGGTCCATATTTCTTCCTAGTGAATCTACTGCTTTTAAATCACATTCCTTTTGTGAATTTAATTTATTTACAATTGCCTGACTTTGACTGTTTTCCAAGGCCTTTATAACTTCATCAAACTTTTTAAAAAAGCTTTCAGCTAGGAATTGCATGTTATCAGAGAGTCTTTTCTCAAGTATCAGCCTCATTCCCTTTTCTATAATCTGATACGTTGTTCCCCAATAAAGTAAATAAGAGAGTTCTGCAAAGCAGAATAAGACAATAATCTAAGGAACAGGGAAGATATCTTCTAGATATTTCAATCCAAAATTAAAAGAAAGAATGAGAAAAATAAGCACTAAACTTTTTGCAAATTGATAAAATAAAAAAATCCCTGTATGAATATCCAATAAAAGTGTAAATCAAGTAAAAGCACTTTCACTATCCGGGAATACCCTGTGATTTTTCTTATGGAAAAGCAGGAGTTAATGAAAACAGCCAGACACATCAGAAGAAAAAAGCAAAAAGAACAGATAAAATCCAGCAGTGGGTTGAATAAATCAGCATTCAACCAGCCAATTAACTTTTAAAGATAAAAAAACCAGTTTTGGCAGCAAAATCAGCAGATTGTCAGCAGGAGAGAAAATGTTTCCTACCAGTCAGCAGCCATCTTGGGGAGGAAGTGTGCTCTTTATTTGCAATTCCCCTAATTAAAAAAAGTACTCCTGATTATTTTATAATTCAATATAATTATTTAGCAAATTATACCATTAAAGCATGCCAGTCTGATTATGATGTATTTGTTAAAAACAATAAATGTAAATGGTACTTTTTAGTAGTCTTTGTGGAAACTTTTTAGCCTTGGAGATCTTTGCTGGGATTAATGACTTTTTGTTATAAACCAGCATACATAGGATATTTGATATTTTTGTATATATATTTTACATATAAATCATATGTTGTACTGTTAAAACTAACATTATAACATGTTCATTTTCTTTCTACCAGGGAACCAGAAATCCCAGACAAGTAAGCTGAAAAATTACAACAAACCTAACCTCTTGTTGAAATGACATTAAACAAAATCAATTGACATTAAACAATTAATCAATTGATACTCATTTAAGGACTATTACAGTTAAAGTCAAAGCTCTATATAATTACTTTTTTGCTTCCTAAAGGAAGGAAACGTCTGAAACAGATGTGATTTAGTATACAACAGTTCACAATTTAAAGGAAACAATGATATATCAAAACAGAAGGAGATTAAAAAATACCTACATATACTCTTAAATGTGAACCCTGGAAATTTAAAATGGCCTTCCTGGTTTTCAAGTACTTTAGTTAATTTAGTAATGAGTCTGGCTAATGATTTATAGTACTTAAGGAATGGATTAACATTTGTAGGAGACAGTCAGGCTGAGACCGAGAGGGGGGTAAAATGTATCATGAGTCTCGAATCCCTTCATGCTCACAAGAGATCTAAGTCCAACCCACCTTGAATTCCATTGACTCTTATCTATTATTAATATGCTTTGACTGTTAGTAGCTCAGATTCTTGTAGAGAGCTTAAGCTTGCAATAAATCAACAACTGCCTGGACTCCTGATTTCCCGCACTTGACAACATTACTACCAAAATGTTTTGCTGGTACAAATATAAATATACCATCCAGAATCTGGTTTGTGTAATTTCTCTTAAAAACTAACGGTGGTGAGATCCAACAAAGACTGTGTAGAGCATTAGACATGATAAGGATGGTGTCAAAGGAAAGCCATGATTTGCAGAATGCCTCATTCCCACCAAAGGAAAAACACCACACAACCTGTGTAGGAGACGGAAAGACAAGACATAGTCAGACAACTTGACATTTGGATGCAAAACACTTGAAAACAGTGGAAGGAAAATATCCTGAAAGAGGGGTCCCTTGTGACTGGAATCTTGAATAGAGCAGTATAACTATGTTATAATTCCCATTTGTATATTTTTTACAATAAAAGTAGTTCAGAAAATTAACATATTCACTAAATATTGCATTTCTGCCCCACAGAAACCCAGAATGCTGAAACGGGTAAGTCTAATGACTATAACAAGGCAACTCATCAGTATTCCTATGTTAGAAGATGATCATATAATAAAACATAATGTTGCAATTCTCATTTGGATATTTTAAATAAGAAAATATATATTCTATTGTTTTATTCTACAACTGTACTCAACTATTTATTCATTTTTTTCTTCCAGGAACCGAGAATGTTGACATCAGTAAGTATATTCATATTTGTATTTGTACAGTATTTAAATCAGCAAATTAAAATGACATTTGGGCTATCACTGCTGGGTGAAGGAAAGAGCATTAGCTGAGTTGAATAAAACACATGAGTTGTAAAAAAGAAATTCTTCATTTAAATCTTGCTTAGTGGTCAAAATTACATAATATTGATCTCTATTTTTGAGTTCTTTAAAAAAAAATACAGATACATTATTATTCAATACACAAAAGCAACAGCAATCTGTTCAAATGGAATACATTCTTTTTGTTTCCTTTTGTGATTTGCACACCAAACCATAAAGAGACTCAAAATCAGCATGTATAAATAGTAAGCCTTTAATGAAAATCTACCTACCATTGTCCCATTAAAGTGTCAGGTTAATAAACATGGAGTTTACTCAGTTAAAACCTGTAGCCTAGTATAAATGTCCTCTTTACTGAAGACAACTCTGTTTGTAGAACCAGAATTTCCTGCCGGACAAATATTGATATACAATTACACCACCGTGCTTCAAACTGGAGTTCAAAACAAAGATTATGGAAAGAGTCTTCTAAGGATGGAAACTGATGCAATAATCACAACAAGTCAAACAGAGCATGTGCTTCAAGTAAGTTTTCTCCCTAAGGATAAAATTCCTTTCAGTAATTCTCAAGCCCATTCAATTGATGGGAAACTATACTGTACAATCATTCAAGAAATAGTCACATATATGGACCACAGATTGATGGTGGGGGGGACCCTTTCTGTACAATAGGCCAAGGGAAAAATGATCATTTTAAGCTTCAATACTTTATTTGCCTGCAGTTAAAAAAAGTTAAGCAATCCTAAACTATTCATTCATAAGTGCATTATACTCCTGACAAGAACAACTGTGATTTTAAGACTGAAGCATAATGGAATATTAAATTAGTGTTCAACAAACTAAAATGTAATTAGTGAAGGTGTTTCAAATAGTTTTTGAACTGGGGTAGACCATGCATTACTTCTCTGAGTGTTGATCCCCTGGGTCTTTATGCAGTGGGAAATATTGCAAAATAACTAAAGCTAAAACTGAAGCTAGGGAGCAAGCAGTTTCTTATTGCATGGAATTTTTATATGTTTTGTCTCCTCCTTTTCTTCCCACTGGGATAGAGATGACATGAGGATGTGACACAACTTTACTAATCTTTGGAAAATAGATTTAGGCAGGGGTGGGCTGCTGGGGGTTCGCAGGGGTTTGGGACAGCCCCTAGCTAAGATTCTGTGCAGTTCTGAAAACCTCCAAATCCCATTCCTGGCTGGC